AGACTGCTTTCAGCAATGTTTAAGGGACCTTCACATACCCCGTCCACCGATAGACGCTCCAAAAATGTTTTTCTTGCTACTCAAAGCCCCTCTAACTAATCGGAAATGATTAAATAATTAATTTGCCAATTACTTAACCACTCTCGTATCTCTGCTCTCGTCCGAGACTTGATCCGAGACTGCTTTCAGCAATGTTTAAGGGACCCTCAATTACCCTTTCTACCTACATTGGGTCCACAAAGGATTTTCAACTTATCTAATGCACCCTCAATTAATAAACAAATTGATTTGTGAAGGCATAAATAACTCTCGGATGCACTCTCGGACGAGAGTCTTTACTGCAGTTTGGCGCCCTAACCTCCGAAAATCCGAGAGTCGAATGAGTGTCCATTCCGAGTGTCGGAGCTACTCTCGGATAGGTCTCGGACTCATCCGCCAGGGTACCAGAATGTATGGAATCGATCAACACAAAATTTTATATACAAGTGTGACTCAATAATACTAGTTAGTAGCCCAAATCTCTCAGATGTTTATTCCAAGTTTTATGCGTATTATGGAACGCCACATTAACTCTCAGTTGAAAAAATTAGAAAAATACGAATATCTCGAAAACTTTGTATGAACGGGTATTGATATTTTAATTGATCTTGAAAGGGGGTGGTAAAACGAGTATTTAGAAAAGATTAATCGGACCAGTAGTTTGGGAGATATTGAACAGAACAGCATTTCACAAAAAGTTGAATACCTAAACCACTTATCCGATTTTGCTTACCCATAATCCCACTCTGTAATATCATAAAAGCTACGATATCACCAAATTTCAACATTCCTATTTAAATTTTTCCTATTTTTTTCTATTTAAATTTTTTCTGGAGTTATCCTGCATAGAACGATTTTCTCATAAAAACGAAAAATGCCGATTATCACCAAACTGTCCCTAGTTACATCGCAATATTGTGATTTGCTTGATAGATATTACTACAAGGCATATGTTGACATAAAAAAAAATTCAATTCAGTCACATACTTTTCGACATATTGAGGAAAAAAGATTTTTGAGAAATTGCTGTATCCCGAAAACTACTTCACCGATTGAGCAGAAATCGCGCCCAGAAGTGCTCCAAAGCAATATCAGTGATGTGGCAAAAGTTCAGATTTTTAGCTTCAACTTTACCTAGTTCGTTTTCTGTCCACATTTATAAAAATTTTCCGACAAATTCCCACATACATCCGGATATACATACACACATTTTCTAAAAACGTCAAATTTTCACGTTTCATGACATTCTACGTCATTTCGAGGTAGACTTGGAAAATCGTTAAAATCAACGATTCCAAAGCTTCCATTCAGAAGCAAAAATATGAAATGTTGATGCCTAGAAATTCTTATAGAAGATAATTCCAACAAAATAAGTTCTATAGGATAATCATGTATTCTTTCAATAGAATTCACCGAAAATTTCGATAGAAATTTGTAATTTATCATCATTCCCTCGATGCAGTAATGGCAAAATTATTGATAACAAAACTCACAGTGCATTTATGTTCAATGCAATCAGCCCAAAATTTGGAAGCACTAAACTTTCTCCTAAGTACAACCGTGATTCCAACGCAAAGAGCTGGACCAACTCCAACAACTCCACCGGCAGTATGATAAAGTGGCAGTGGATCGTAAACTCGATCCGTCTGCTCAAGGCCAAGCATGTAGTATACGCCACAAGACATCAGCATGAATCTGAGAGAACCATTTTTTTATGTTGTGATTTTTCACGTTCAATGAACGGAGGAAGTGGTCACGACCAAATGAAACTTGATCGAATTAATTGCGACTCACCTCAAGTTATTGATAACAGCGGCCTTCGGCATTCCCGTAGTTCCTGACGTATAGATGTATATAAGTTTGTCCCTGGGACATCCCAATGAAAGATCAACTTCCACCGCAGCGGACGAAATATCTGCCATTGATTTATTTAAATCAACACTTCCTTGGAGAACTGGAGTATCTGGTGTCCTCGAGCTCTGGTACAGACCGACATCTGGGAGCTTATCTTTGATCTCTGCGATGGCTACAATCCCCAAAAAATATCACAAATCAGTGCTATCATTACACGGAAGAAACTCTTCATTTTAAAGTTTTCTATTCGTTTCAATAATTTTTGTATTTTGGAAATTATTCAACTCATATATGCATTTAACCCTTAAGTGGTCACATCGTCAGGGAATCCCCGCCAAACCATACGCAACGTATGGGAACTGGTGGATGGGCGGAGCTTACGGTCTTGACATAGCACTTTACATATAAGTCTATGGGGTGAATTTCATTTTGATACCACTTGAATGAAATTAATCTCATTTCAAAGCTTAAAAAAAATAATCTCAGAATGATTTATAATTTGTTGAATTTCACTCTGCCACTCTCGAGTTATTGACTTTTGAAGACAGCTCAGTTTGCATTACAGTCCCATTGAGCGGAGACGTTTGCTATCTTAAAATGATTCTTTTTTCACCACCAGATGTCATACGCCCATCCACCAATTCCCAATAGGTCACTACCGTAGAGCGAGTGAGATGCTAGAAAAGCGCAACCAGTTAAGGGTTATTTTAATGGAAATCTTTCTATTATAGTAAAGAAATAATTAAGAAATAATAAATAACATTTTTGTATATATTCAAAACATTTTATTTCATGGATGAAAATAAAATTTATCTAATTCAAATGAACTTTGGGTGAATACTACTAATATTTTTTGCTAAAAACGCTATTTTCAAGATATTTTCAAAATAATACTGATACTGAATTTTTGGATTCAATTTTACATGTATCGAAACTACAATATTTTTTTGTCATGATTCTGATGAATTGAATAAGTCAGAAAATCATTGACCGCTTTCATTCTAACTGAAAATAATCATGAATTAATTGAAAAATTATTATCATTGTTGTCATTGGCCTATTGGGACATTAACGCATGAAATTTTTCCAAAAGGCTATGTCGAAGACATTTTTTTTCAGCAAATTTGATGATTTGAAAGATAATTTCTCACGTCTTCATTTTAGATCAATTAACTTTGGACTTATCCGCGAAATAATCAGAATGTTGTTATCAAACTCATATCATTCAACTTGTTTCGCGAGACGATTGAATGCATTTTTTTCATTTCTATGAAGTAATTATTGACTCTGAAACATCTAAAAGTCCTCACCATCTTTCAACTCGGCTCCAAAAATAATGGATTTACAATTAGCAGCTTTAACACTGTGAATTAACACATCTTTCCTAAGGTTGGTATTAACAAGCGCGCCGACAAAACCAGCTTTGCTTAATCCCAACCACGTCCCCACGTATTCAGGACGATTTTCCATTATCACTGCAACACTGTCACCACGAGAAATCGGCTGAGTCCGCATGTAACGGGCCAGGCGGTTGCTGTAATCGTCCAGCTGTAACAGAAAATCATAATGAGCCTCCTAATACTGGCAGAAGACTGGTCATAAATAAAACAAAAAAAAACCGTTTAAGGATATCCCATTAGTTCGGGCAAATCGTTCTGGGGGAAATTCTCTTCAGAGTTTGTAAAATACACCAATAGTTTTTTTAGGCGCCCTACCAACCGTTATTTCCGAATACTTTTTCGAGAAAACGATCTTTGAAAAACTGAATTTTAACACGTTGCGTGCATAAGAGCTATATACTCCCAACGTCAATCCAATAGTTCATAGTCTTACAGCATTTTCTCGTACATATAACCGTGTATTTAGAGATGTGAGTGACAAAAATGACCGGTCAATTTTTGACTACAAGTCCAGCAATTTTTACGCTGTTAAAAAATTTTAGCTGAAATTTCCAGTACACTTTTCTAAGAATTCTAAGAATTAAATTTTCTAAGAATTCTCATCGTCATGCTTATCAAAATTTTAGAATTTTATTGAATTCTCAGTGAAATCCGAAAATTTTATGTTCTTTCCCCCTCAAATTGCATTCAGTGGCACTGTCCTGAAAAGTACTAGTCAGGTATCCAAAAAAAATCATTTTCTTTTTCTAACAGTATATCATAGAGAACGGGATCATTGATAATAATTAATAAATAAAATAATAAATGATAACGTCCGAAATGAAAATGACGATTAATTTGCAATTATATAGACGATTTTTGGTTATTTTGGCTGGTATCGAAAGCAGTGTAACTGTGACGGTGATTGAGAAAACGATCACAAACCGGTCATTTACGTCTAACCTGACCGAAAGGAAAAATGACGGTGATTCCACGTCTCGACGTATATGACATTATTCGTTATACTCTCTAGTTTTTTTGCGACATTACAAAACATAAGTTTCCGGACTGATAATTGCAAACAATAAAATTAAAGGCTTCGTGATTGATATGATGACCATATTGGGTGGTTGGAATCCGCGCGGTTCTAACGTCTGGCAACGGTCCGCTCAAGTAACTACTCGGACCGAATTTACGAGGTTATAGGGAACACATGTGCAGTATTGCCGCATGATCCTTAGAAGTTAGACCAACGAGAGTTAAGTGTGAAATTGAATAAAATCGCGCTGTTTTTTGCATCTCATCAAATTAGAACTTTAGCACTGAGAGAGAGAATTATCCGGACTGCAGAAGTCGTGGGTTCGAATCCCACCCGATCGATCCGATGAGACTCGCAATTTTTTAAATTTTTGCATTGACTAATTAAAACATTGTATACTGTCGGTGTCAAAAGTAGAGACCACTCGAAATAAACGTCTCTAACTCGACGAAAAAAAGATCATTTTTCTTTAATGAAAAATGAATGCCGTATGAAAGACGGCGGAGCTCAATATGTACAAAAAATTTGAAATGAAGAAATGGCCAGGAACCAGATAGCTCAGTTGGGACAGCACCCGATGCATAATCGGAAGGTCCCGGGTTCAAATCCCGGTCTGGACTATTCATTTTTTTTCAGTAAATATTTATTGTTAATTCATATTGAGAATAATCCCGGATCCCGTCCTACCTCATCCAAATCCTATCCAACTAATTTCCTATGACGTCACAAAGACGTGGAACGCTATATAATTTAATTTAATTTATTGTCCAAATATAGCCGATTAGGCTTTTTACATGTTTTCAACGTGAAAATAGGAGTTTTCATAAACATTTCTGTGCAGAAATTAACATAACATAAAGTCGTACTATAATAATAACTGTTTAGTTTGTATCTTAGAGGAAACATCGAAAATGAAAATTCGAAATATCATATTTGTCAAATTGGTTAAGTATCACCGTGCAGCCTCTCCACCGGCCATCTCTCCCATGGCTTCATCTGCTGTTATTAATGCCAAATTTTCAATGCTCTAAGGGGTTTGCCCTTCAGAGCCAGTACCAATTTTCTCCTCAGAGACTCCCCTCTAGCCTCTTCCTTCCACGCTCTAAGGGGTTCAGTCCATTTCACGTCGATGGCAGCCATAGCCTCCTCGTACTCCCAGACGTGCAAGAAGGTTTCTGGCTCCTGTCCGCAGAGCCGACACACGGTGTTGATGAAACCTTTTTTGCCCTGTCTACCCAAGTTTCCACAGCGCAGCCGAGCCCATTGCTCTTTAACCTTGCCCGTTATGTCCGGGGGCTTCCAATAGAAGTAGCTGCGTTCATCAACTTGCACTACTGTCAAATTAGAGTAGAGCCAGACCAAGTATCCACTGCAGTAAGATGAGGCCTCTGCTTTCCTCCTGTCCTCCTCTCTCTCTATACTCAAAAGAACCTCTGCCACGTTTCTTACCCTTTCGATGCTGTCTTCATTCTCCTGATCCTTCCATAGGCTCTCAATAACTCCTCCGCACTCCGCTTCCTCCATGACTTTCTTCACTGAGCTGGCCCACTTGGAAGGGTTACCATTACTTGCGTTTCGGAATTCCTCCAGTAGGCACAGTCTCGGCCACCGGTCAGTTTCCATCCCCAGTACCTCCAACATGTACCGGGAAGCCCTGTTGACTGCATTTATATGCAAGCTCGCCCTCCGAGACTCCAGTCTTAGAATATAATTGGAAGTGTTTCAGCTGATCTCCATTGACATCTTGACTAGACGCCTGTATACTCTCTCCAGGATCTCACTCTTGTCCCACCCCCAAATCTTCACCCCATAAATGCAACCTGCCTTGGCCAGAGTGTTTTGCATGTACAGTCGGCGTCTCAGCGAGCTGATCCCAGTCCTTTTGAAGAGACTTCAGGTCGTATTGATCAGACGCTGCGCCTTTGCTGCCATTTTAAGGTAATGTTTCTTGTAAGTATTCCCGAGGAGAACCAAAAGCTGAGGTACTTGAATTCTCCAACCACCAACAACTTTCTGGCCATTCAGGAGTCAATCCTCCTCCTTCTTCCGGCCCCCCTTGGAGAAAACCATCATTTTGTTTTTTTGGGTATTTATGGTCAAGTTATTATTCTCCGCGTATCTTTCCAGTGTTTTTAGCATCGTTCTCATCTCCTACAGGAATTCCGACACCAGCACCACGTCATCGGCGAACTTAGGCGAGTACACCTTCACCCTGCCCATCACTGCTCCACCAACCCCTTGCTTTCTGTAGACCTCTTCCAGATCATTGATGAAAAACGCAAAAAGAATTGGGCTGAGTGGGCATCCTTGTCGGACTCCCGTCCTGGTCCTAAAACTCTCTGGGATTGACCTGCCTATGAGGATGTCGTTTTCCGTACATGCATAAATGCCCCTCAGCATCTTATGCATTTTCCCTCTCACTCCATATTCCCACAGCTTCTCCATCAGTTTGCCTCGATCCACCAGGTCAAAGGCGGCCTTGAAATCCACGAAAGCTGCGTATAACTTTCCTCCCGTGGTCCTCAGACGGTTATTAATCAAGGCGTTCAGTACAAAAATATGATCTCGAGTCCCCCTCCCTGGTCTAAACCCCGCCTGGCTCTCGCATAATACCTTATTTCCCTCCGCCCAGGCATAGAGTCGGTCGACCATGATCCTGGTAAGTACTTTATAGATCACATCAAGGAGTGAAATCCCCCGATAATTTCCGGCATCATTCCCGTCACCTGCCCTATGGGTGGGGAAAATTCTTCCATCCGGTTACCAGCTCTCCTATCCTCCACACCTCCCTCAAGACCTGGAACAGCTCACCCAATCCCTCTGGAGGAAGTGATATCAGACGTCCCTTACAACTCCGTCCTCACCAGGGGCTTTTCGGCTCTTCAAGGTTCTCAGCGCTCTAGAGACCTCCTCCTCGGCCAGCTCTCCATTCATTAGGTCTCTTGCTTCCTCCTCAGGTGCCAAGGGGTAGGATCCCCCCCAAGATCTCTTGCTCCTTCCTCCAAGAGAGGGCCCGAATGAGTGCCCACGCGCCTATCCCCTGCCAGCACGATCTCCTCATCCTGGACCGTCGCTTCCTCCAGTAATGGTCTCAATGCTGCTACAATCTGCTTCATTCCCACGTTGTTATATACAGCGACCAGCCTGAGAGGTTAGCCCTCCCCCGTCTTCAGGCCATGCAGCTGGAACCCGTATCTCCACTTCTCAACAGCCACTCTTTCGCCCAAGCTCCGCCTGACTACAACCACTTGACCCCGCCTAGCTCTTCCTTTCTTGTGTATGCTTATTGCCGCCTCCATCTTCCATGTATAACTATTGTCTAATCGATTCTGCCAACTTTTCCAGTTCTTCTCTTCTACCTACGTCTCCTGGAGCAGGATCACATCGTACTCCTTCATGAACTTCCAAGCTAATCCAAGATTTTTTAAGCCCGAAATATTCCATGTGACCACTTTTGAAGCCTTCTCAGTTACGTTTCCCCCCCCCCCCAAAAAAATTCTTCCAGGGGAGACGTTTAAAATTGCCCTCTCGTTCATCCCAGCTCCAACCCACACCATTAATAAAAAATTTAGCATAACCCTCCTTAGGTTATCCCTCTCTCACTTAGGCGTGTTGCCTCGTTCCTCAAGGCCTTCTGGATTTCGATCTCTCTGGCCGTTAGATCATCATCCAATCATAGATCCACTCCCCGTACCCTTCTCAGGGAACCCCTGCGCCTGATAATATTCAGCTTAGTACGGAGTGTCCTCATTTGAAGAATAATGGCATTCTCGACCACCAAAAGCCTCTCGATCTCTGGCTTGATCCCCGTGGCTTGCTCAATTATATCCACAATTTCGTATTCCAGGAATACTGGATCCCCTGGCCCGTTTGTAAGCTTCCAGCCCCTCACTACCAGGTTTTTCTTCCTCATCTTTCTAGTCTCCATCTCCTCTGGGATCTCCTCCTCGGCTAGCCTCCTCAGGCCATGTGGCCTGATTTGAGTCGGATTTTCAGCCTGACTGCCTAAACTCCCTCTCCCCGTGTAAGCCGGCTGGGACTCAGTTGTTGTTCTCTGACTAGTTGAGTTCTGCCTGTCATTAGCCACGTGGGTGCGCCCTCCTCGCTGTGCCTTTCCGTTCTCCAGGCTT